CCCCCCCCCCATGTTAATGTCAGCACTTTCCTTAAATTATGTCTCTTAATCCGATCTTCCTCTTCTTTCCTGATGTTTTTATCTGTCCCTCCAGCAGTGCGGCGGCTCTCCGATCCAGCGCTGACTCCTCTCTGCTTACAGGCACTTCCGATCCAGCGGTGTCTGCAGGCGTTTGCACGCCTCCATAGACTTACCTTGCGTCTCTGCTTGTCTCCCGGCCGAGAATCCAAACTGCGCATGTGCCCGCCCCAAGATCCTTTGCGGCCGCACGAACAGTTCCGGACTCTCGCCGCGGGAGCGCGCAGCGATAATGAGGTCAGTCTAAACTGCTGTTTAAGCTGGGTTTAAAAAAAACAAAACTTTTTGCCTATATCTACTGCTTGTCAGCAGTAGATATAGGCAAAAAAAACGGGAGGCTTTAGAACCCCTTTAATCAATAACCCTAGATGACTGTAAGTGCTTGGCCAAAAATGTAAAGAAACACTTTGCTGGGCAATACATATTTGTTTGATCTGGATTCATTATTAAATTAACCTCAGTTTCCAAGCCAGCTGGCTCTTAGATCAGTCCCTTGAGTATCTGTCCCTCTCCCCGACATGTCCAATACAGTGAATTAGTTGTGAGGACTCTGAGGGACGTACATACCATTCTTGCAGCAGAGAAGGAGAGAGGCTGGAGGTTTGGGCGAGTATTATTATTATTATTTTTTTACCCTAGGCAAAAACGAGGGGGGTTGCCCCACTGCAAGGGTTAATATATATCCTGCCTGGAGTTCTTCCTTTAAAAAAACATTTGAGAGTTTAATACTACTTTAAGATGAAAATATGCACTACACAATCCAAAATCAATATGCAACCATAACAAAACATTGATGAAATGCCAATTGAGGAGAAAGCAGGTAGTGCACATCCCAGATAGCAGGTAATTACAATTTATCCCCCCTACAAGTTTGTGGCAAGTTATCCTTGCTATCTGGGATATAATAACTCTTTCTGAAACACATGGCATAGCACTTTAAAAGAAGCAAAAATACACGGTGTTGATAAAAAGAAATGCAAAACAAAAAAAATAAATCTTTGCTGTGCATAAAAAGTGTTTATCCATGTAAGGGAACAGCAACATAGATCATGTATGTGAAAATGAAGTAATGTGATATTCATGATAATATAAAAACACATAAATCTAATGTAATTGGAATACAAGCAGTGTAGCACAGGGAGTACCTGAATATTCAGTGCTACGCATAACAAGGTTGTATGGCAGGCTACAGATGTACTCATAATACTTCCTGAACATATTTGTCCTTTTGGGATTGTCCTTTTGTGTTTAGATTTACAAAACTGCATTGCAGCATAATGGTACTTTTCGTTCACTGCATTACATGCCTTGTTGATTTTATGTGACATTTATCAAGTGTAATTGGAAACAGTCTTTCCTTTAGCTCATATGACAGTTTGCAGTAGATGATATGTCATGGCTTGCCTTATGCTCTTGCTGTCATGAAACATCAGTAGTTCTCTTTCTCTTACTATACTGCTGCTTCTCAAAGTATATTGGTGTGATAGCTGTGCTACTGACATGCATGTTACATAAAGACATTCTTTTCAACTTATTTAAGTGGAAAACGCAAAGATGATGTGCATAGAGTAATAACCTACATCAACCAGATTACTGATTACTGTGGTCAGATGATACTTGATGCTATGAGTTCCCATTCTCTCACATTTCATTGTCAAATAAGTATCATATATCTTTAATTTTACAAAATGGACACAAGTTGAGGAAACTAAAGGACACTACTCTATACCTGTCACTTACATTGATGGGAGCCTGAGATGATGAGGGTGGCCTTTCGTGCTGCTCCAGTCCAAAAACCCCTGGAGAATGGGTGCACAAGGGCAAGAAATGGCACGAGTGTCGGCTGATGGTGCAGTCACTGGAGATGCTGGGATCAGTATTGCAGATGTCTTCCAGCAGAAAGGGAGTGAAGAATGCAGATCTTTGGTAGTGAGGTCCAGGACAAGCTGGGTCATCAACAATCGGGCAGCAGGGTACCAGGACAGCAGACAAGACGTAGTCGGGGACAGGCCAGGTTGACAACTTGCGGGTGGTGAAGTATAAGACAGAAGCAAAAGCGTAGCTGAGAAAGAGCCGTGATCGAGGGATACAGAACAGCAATTGGAAGGTCAAGGCAAGCTGGGTCGGTAACGGAAGAATCAGGATGCAGGATAAAGGAACCAGACAGTAGGGAACAGCTGAAGATCACTTAGCATGGAACTTAGGATGTGACAGCCTTAAAGTGCCCGTTTGGTGCCATAGTTCGTAATGAGCATGTGCACTAGTCTGTGCACACGCCGAGGAACGCATACACAGAAGTGCGCAGCATTCCACAGAGGCACACAGCCATGGCCTGTCTTCCTGTATGGAAGGGTTAGAACCTTTGTCCAATAATATTGTCTGTTGTCTCATTGGTTTATTAAAGCTAAGTTGGGATGAAAACCTGAATGCTGAGCAGGAAGGCTGTGCACCTTTCATGCATCTCAAGACTTGATTTTTAAACTGGAGTATACGTTTACTGTGGGTGAAGTTTCCACATAACACACAAAATCAATAGACTTGCTATGGTCCTGAATGCACTCATTCCTGTAGACATTTCTGTATGGAATCGAATAGGTCTCTTGTTAGCAGCCAACCAATAAAGGCAGAAAAACCAAACCACCTTGGAATTCTGCAGCCTACCACACTTTTAAAAATAGTAGATACCCATTTAAATGCACCAATGAAGGTGCTGAGAAGATGGCAATCACACTGTCTACTGTTGTAACTACTAGCAGTTTCAAATTGTAACCATAACAAACTGTGCAAAACCATATAGTATCCCTCCTGTGGCTAGGGTCGTATATCAGTGTTCCATTACTTGGTTTGGATGTCAGAACCTATTGTATCTATAGTTTCCTTGCTACATGCTTTCAACAAGAAAGGACCATTTAATTGACTCGGTTGGTTGTCATTCAGTAAATTTTCTATATGAAGACACATTTTAAATTAATTCAATAGATTTTCATATAATATTTGCTGCTCACTAATGATTCCCATGTACATAATAATCCACTTTGTACAATCTGAAAAATCTTTGTGTGAAATGCAAACATACAGAAGACACAGAGTTTTATGTCTAAGTTGAACAATTTCTCTTTTTTTTAGCATTTCAATTATTTGCAGGGGTCATGACTTTAAATGCTGTGTGATCATGTTCTACGTCAGACACATATGTTTCCCAAAGTTTTATCTTGAATACTTTACAGCTCTTGACTTAATTGATAGAAGGACTCCTGTGGGTAAGAAGCACATCATTGAGTGCCTATTTAAATAGCATATTCAGTTAAGTGAGCAGACTGCGTAATTGCTGACATAAGAGTGAATATTCTACTTCTGTTTTCTGCTTATCATTGTGGTCCCAAGGAAACGTGTATCATCGTTTTTCTTTTATTGTTTCTAGATGTATTTTTGGAAGAGGTGCAAACACTGTTAATCAGGTACCCATTATTATTGAGGTGTCTGATACCTATGCTAAAGGTTATTATTGCACCCACTGAACACCAATGCTGGGGGTTATTATTGTGGTCCCTGAAACCAATGCCGGGGGGTTATTCTTGCTGTATTGCTGTATAACTTTTTGCTTCATAACCACTTTTTCCTTTTTTAGAGAATTACATGGTATGGACTGTTAATAATTGATATATCTGGCCTAAGTGGCCAGTAACCAGGCATTGTCATGTGAGGGGGGGGGGGGGGGGCATCGCAG